CTGCTGCCCGCACACCCATTCATCCAGCCCTTACTCTCACCAACATCAAAACACATATTCCTATCACTCTCGATCTCAAGGACGATGAGTATACTTCATGGGTGTTCTTATTCGAACTTCATCTTGAGGCTCACAACCTTATGTTTCTCATTAAGGGAGATGCTGCCCCTAGCACCATTGATGGCCCTACCGCCAAACAGCTAGATGCTCTTGTCCGTCAATGGATGTTTTCCACCATGTCCAAGGACTTGATGCTCACTGTCCTCAAATCCGGTAAAAGTGCCAAGGATCTATGGGACCGTCTCAAGACTCTCTTCCAGGACAACAAAGGCACTCGGGCAGCTCTTCTCGAAAGCAAGTTTGTTCACTTGAAATTCACCGAGTGTTCTGATGTTGATGATTATTGTGACCAGCTTCATAAGCTGGCTGAGCGTCTCCAGGACCTCGATTTTTCGATGGATGACAAGCGTATGGTTATTCAATTGGTCAATGGTCTGCCTCCAGAATATGATACAGCGGCCTCCTTCATCTCTCAGTCCATGCCTTCGTTTGAAACTGCCCGGTCCCACCTACGCACAGAGGAGCAACGCCGCCGGGCCCAACACCAATCCGCAGCACCTTCCACTGCTCTGGCGGCTCAAGAAACGAACCCTGGTGCTGCGTTCACTGCCTCCTCCAGTAGGCCGGCGCACTCTGCTCGTCCGACTCCGTCTCGATTTCCGGCTAACCATGGTGGCCGTCGCAATCGATCGACGAATCGGCGACCCCTTGCAGCGGCGTCGAACGGTCCACCCTCTTCTGGTCGAAGCTCGGTTCCAGGCGTCCCTCCAGCTGGGGCGTTTTCCGGTTACCCACCTTGGCCGCCGTACTGGACCATCCCCCCGTGCCCTTACCCGACGGCTCCCTTCTGGTCTGCGGCTCCTCAGCGCCCAAATGCACGCCCTGCTTCTATCTAGGGTGCTTTTCAAACGGGCCAGCCCAATTTTGATTCAACTGATAAAGGCCAGGCCTTTGTTACTCACACGGATGATGTTTTAAAGCCCGAGGATATTGCCGAGGCTTATAGCTCCTTATCTTTGCAGCAGCCCGATGATTCTTTTTACATGGACACCGGGGCCACATCTCATCTCACGGCTACTCCAGGTACCTTGTCTCGTGTTTTTAATAATAACATTGTTCGCTCAATTTTGGTTGGTAATGGTAGCCAAATTCCAGTTATTGCCTGTGGCAGCAAAATCATACCTCTCCCTGACTGCAACCTACATCTCAAAAATACCCTTGTTGCCCCGCATATTATCAAAAACCTCGTGTCTGTCCGTAAATTTACCATTGACAATAATGTTTCTGTTGAATTTGATCCAACTGGTTTTTCTGTGAAGGATCTGACTACGGGGACCCGTATTATGAGATGCAATAGTTCCGGGGAGCTATATCCTATTACTGGAAATGATGTGTCTACCACCACCACTCCTGTCTCTCTTGCTGTTGTGTCACCCGATCTTTGGCATAAGCGACTAGGTCATCCTGGAAAAGCTGTTCTTGATTTATTACGCAATCAGTCTTTAATTAAATGTAATAAAAATAAGGTTTTCAACCTCTGTCATTCTTGTCAAGTTAGTAAGCATGTTCGATTACCTTTTTACCCTTCTGGGCCTAATACTACTGCTCCCTTTGATATTATTCATAGTGATTTATGGACATGCCCGCTTAATAGTAACACTGGTTTTAAATATTATCTTATTTTATTAGATGATTTTACTAATTATCTCTGGGTGTATCCCCTCAAACTCAAATCTCAAGTTTTTGGCAAATTCCTTGAATTTAGTATATTTGTTCGCACTCAATTTGAAAAAGAAATAAAATCCTTTCAGTGTGACTTAGGACGTGAATTTGATAACTCTATTTTTCATACATTTGCCAGAGAACGTGGGTTTGTTTTTCAGTTTTCTTGTCCACAAACATCACCTCAAAATGGTAAAGCTGAACGTATGATTCGTCGTATTAACGACATCACCCGCACTCTTATGACCCATGCCTCAATCCCTCCCAAATATTGGGTTGACTCTCTTTATATGGCTGTTTATCTTCATAACATCCTCCCCACCAAAACCTTAGCCTTCCGCTCGCCTGTCTTAGCTCTGTATTGTCGTCAGCCCACATATGACCACATTCGCACCTTCGGATGTCTATGCTACCCAAACCTGAGCTCCACCGCTACCAATAAAATGGCTCCTCGGTCCACTCGTTGCGTCTTTCTCGGGTTCCCACATCAACATCGCGGGTATCGTTGTCTAGATTTAACTACAAAAAAAATCATTATATCTAGACATGTTACTTTCGATGAGTCAGTCTTCCCCTTTGCGGATCTACCATCTCCACCCCCCTCATCTTATGACTTCCTATCGCCCAACCCCCTTCTACTTCATAATCTTACCTGCCCGAAACCCATACATCCGCAACCCAACTCCCCACCGACCCCTACTCCTCCACCCACTCACACACAAACTCAGAACAATCTCTCCCCATCCCCTACTCTGCCACCCACCTCTCCCTCGCCTCCCCCTCCCCCTCCACCTCATTCCACTCACCCCATGGCCACTCGTGCCTCCCATGGCATTTTTAAACCTAAACCCATATTTGACCTCCATGTACAAAGCCCTGCTCCCATCTCCCCTCTTCCACGCTCTCACCTTTCTGCCATTCAGGACTCTAATTGGAAGACTGCCATGCAATATGAGTACAATGCTTTATTAAAAACACGTACTTGGGAGTTGGTTCCCCGTCCCCCCGGCGCTCATGTTATACGCTCTATGTGGTTATTTCGGCATAAGTTTCGCTCAGACGGATCCTTAGCACGCTATAAAGCACGTCTAGTAGCAAATGGAAAATCTCAACAGGTCGGTATTGACTGTTTTGATACTTTCAGCCCGGTAGTCAAGCCCGCTACGATCCGTACTGTTCTTACCATTGCCACATCTCGAGCATGGCCTATTCATCAATTGGATGTTAAGAACGCATTTCTCCATGGGGACTTATCTGAAACCGTCTATATGCATCAGCCCCCTGGCTTTACAGACCAAGCTCGCCCGGATCATGTGTGTCTTTTACGCAAATCTCTTTATGGCCTAAAGCAAGCACCCCGTGCATGGTTTCAACGATTTGCTACCTTCATTACTAGTTGTGGTTTTCGGGGCAGTAAGTGTGATTCCTCTCTTTTTGTGTATCATTCTGGATCAGACACTGCCTATCTCTTACTCTATGTGGACGATATTCTTCTGACTGCTTCATCTGATGCACTACTCCAGCGGTTTATTACTTTAATGAAGCAAGAATTCTCCATGACTGATCTTGGCTCCCTACATCACTTTCTTGGTCTTACTGTGACTCGCTCTGCATCCGGTTTGTTTTTGTCACAATCTCTCTATGCTCGAGATATCATTGCCCGTGCTCATATGACCAACTGCAAACCTGTGACAACACCCGTGGATACATCTGCTAAACTTAGTGCCTCATCTGAGTCCCCTCCAGTTGACTCCACATTATACCGTAGTCTTACTGGAGCACTACAATACCTGACTTTCACCCGCCCAGATATCTCTTATGCTGTCCAGCAGGTGTGTTTATTTATGCATGATCCCCGAGAAGTTCACTTTCAAGCGCTTAAACGGATCTTACGATACCTGCAAGGAACCATTGATCACGGCCTTTATATATCTGTTGGCCCTATCTCTCGCCTAACGGCATACTCCGATGCTGATTGGGCCGGCTGCCCTGATTCTCGCCGATCCACATCTGGTTTTTGTATATTTCTTGGGGACAACCTCATCTCTTGGTCCTCCAAACGGCAACCTACTGTCTCCCGGTCCAGTGCTGAAGCCGAATATAGAGGCGTTGCCAATGCAGTTGCTGAGTCTTGTTGGCTTCGGAATCTCCTCCTCGATCTTCATCTTCCTCTTCGAAGTGCTACTATTGTCTATTGTGATAACATCAGTGCTGTATATCTATCCAGTAATCCTGTCCAGCATCAACGAACAAAACACATTGAGATTGACATTCATTTTGTTCGAGAACGCGTGCACATGGGCGACATTCGAGTTCTCCATATCCCTGCCGAGTATCAGTATGCTGACATCTTCACAAAAGGTCTTCCTCGGCAGTTGTTCATCCGCTTTCGTGATAGTCTCAGCATCCGTTCTTCTCCTGCTGCGACTATGGGGGCGTAAAAGACTACCATATTCATATATGATCTCTTAACATATTTAGTTGATTTGTAATAATGTCTTGATTTGTATATCCTTTAATATCCTCTTGTATTTATTTCCCCTTCCTTTTGTACTCCCTTGACTCTTGTATAAATAGACATAATGTAAAGGATTCCCACAAGGGATTTTACTGAATCTCCAATATACACAATTTGCTTAATACGCACGGTTTAGTACATGTGAAAAAAGAGGTTAAAACCTACTTTGTTACTCCGTAATATTTATGTCAAATAAAAGTAGGACGCGTGATACAATGTTGGGAAAATGAAAATTAATAATCGGAACCTTTTAGCAGTCTTCTTACAATAGCCCCACCTTTTCGTTATTCATGAATAATCCAACCTTTTCACCTCATCTTCATTTGTTGGTCCCTAACCGGTTAATAACCTGCTATTCCAAGTTATTTTCTTATCTTTGCAAAATATTATCTTTGTGAAAAGGTGAGATTTATGGTATAATGGTTTGCAAAGATAAGAAAATAACTTGGAATAGTAGATCATCAATCGATCAGAGACCAGTGAATGAAGATGAGATGCATAGGTTGGATTATTCATAAATAATGAAAAGGTGAGATTATTGTAAGAAGATCGCTAAAAAGTTGGATTATTAGTTTCCATTTTCGCTAAATAATCTGTTTTCCAACAAAAAACCCGGATGAGAACCGTACTAGAACACCAAATTCCAGCCGGCTCATGTTAAAACCGTTTCAGTACGGCTCCGTTCCCCTCGGGGAACCTGCCGTTATGTTCCCAACCCCGGAGGGGTCTGTCTATATACTCTTCACTTCCCACTTCACCTTATCGCTTCAGTCCCTACAATGGCGAGACAGGGGACGCCATCCCATTTACTTCTCCCTCTCTTCCTTATAATTCTTCCCCATTTCCATATCCTCCAAGCTTCCTCAAACCCAGACACCCAGCCATTGTTGTCATTCAAAGCCACCGCAGACGCTTCTAACAGGCTGTGGGATTGGAACACCTCCACCGCCGGCGGCGTCTGTCGGTGGACCGGAGTTTCCTGCTTCAAGAACCGCGTTTCCCGTCTCGTCCTCGAAGGTTTCGACCTCCATGGCTCGTTTCAACAGCTCACTTCCCTGACCCAGCTCCGAATTCTCAGCCTCAAGAGGAACCGCTTCTCGGGTCCGCTCCCGGACCTTTCCAATCTCCCCTTGTTGAAGCTCTTGTTCCTTTCTCGCAATGAGCTCTCCGGCGAGTTTCCCGAGACTCTCACGTCGTTGCTCAAGCTGTACAGGCTTGATCTGTCGCATAACAATTTCTCCGGCGAGATTCCGGCCAGTGTGAATAATTTGACTTCCCTGCTCACTCTCAGGCTCGAGGAAAACGGGTTCTCCGGTCAGATTCCCGGCATTGACATCCCTAACCTACAGGACTTCAATGTTTCAGGAAATAGACTGGTCGGGCAAATACCCGCTTCTCTCTCGGGTCACCCGGAATCCGCATTTGCCCACAACTCCCTTTTTCTGTGTGGCTCTCCCTTGCCGAAATGCAAGGACACCATCCAGAAAGATCCAGCCCGACCCGGTGAGGCAATGGCCGGGTCGCCTTCGCCCGTGAACCCCGGGACGGCGGTAGTCGCCTCCTCCCCAAGCTCAATGCCGGCTGCAACCGATATGCCCATGAAACCTGGGAAAAGCCGCCATAGAAGCTCAGCTAGCAAGATCAGGAAGCTGGTGATAATAGTAGCCATTATAATAGGTGACATCTTACTCATTGTATTGGTCTCCGTCTTCGTATACTGTTACATTAATACAAGAAAAAGGAGCTCACAAATCCTTGAAGGAGAAAAAATGGTCTACTCATCAAGTCCATACCATGCTATTTCTTCCCAGTCAGGTGGGGGGTTTGACAGAGGGAAAATGGTGTTCTTCGACGGGGCAAAGCGGTTCGAGCTGGAGGACTTGCTCAGAGCTTCAGCAGAGATGCTCGGGAAGGGCGGATTCGGAACAGCATACAAGGCGGTGCTAGATGATGGCAGTGTGGTGGCTGTGAAGAGATTGAAGGAAATGGTTTTTGGGGGAAGGAAGGAATTTGAGCAACATATGGAGGTATTGGGAAGATTAAGGCATACTAATTTGGTTAACTTGAAGGCTTACTATTTTGCCAGAGATGAGAAGCTGCTTGTCTATGATTACATGCCCAATGGCAGCCTTTTTTGGCTTCTTCATGGTAAGACACTGATCATTCTTTGATCATTTTTTTAATTATTTAGTTTTTTGCTTTTCCATAACATTGTTTATTTTTAATTCCACTTACCTTATTCATATTTGTCCTGTGGCATTCATGGAGTTGTTATTTGGATCTCCAGTTATCTCATAGGTGAAACTTTGCATTTTGTATAGTACTACGTAAAATGTTTGCTTATTATTATCAGGATGCTAAATTGGATCTTCATTGCAAGTTTAGGTGCATTTCTCAACTGCTTATAGGTTTTAATGTTTTATTAGATTAACTTACGTAAATAGGACAAAATCATATAATATATCCTATAATATACCCTCCATCTCTATATTTCTCTTTTTTATAACCTTCTCTTTTTAATTATTTTATCAATGATTCAGTTTTTCTATGATCACATATTTTTATTACCTTTTAGTCTTATTTAGGAAGTTTTTTTGTTTTATTAGTTTGTTTGATTTGGTTCAGGGACTGTTTACTTTTGATTTGATGGGCTTAACCGATTTAATCAATCATCAATTAAATTGGTTTACTAATATGTAATTTATTCGCTCAGACAAAAACTAACTCATACATAGTACTCCGCATGTTAATACTTCTGCTTCAGAAGTCTATTTTACCAAAATTAGTTATTTCGTATTGGTGCAACAATTCTTCTCATTCTTTAGCATATTTCTTCTCTGTCTCTTTTCAATCTACATTCTTATTTTTTCAGTCTATTGTTAAATTTTCTACTCTTTTCTGTTAAGGAAATGACTTGGTTGATATTTGTCTTCTCCCCTCTAAACAAATCCTAAACATAAAATTTCACTTTCTTAAAATTCGTGCCAAGTCAAAACCAGAGTTTAAAAAGGGATATATGTAGTATTGTTCTTTGTTTGTGAATATCTTTGTTCACTTCATTGCCACTTTTTCAATGACCCCTTTTGTTGACTGAAGACAAGATGGACTTTGTTTTTATTGACTATTCAAAGGAATCCTTGTGTTTTCCCTGTTTTGTGGTTTGAAAGATTCTTGCTTCCCCTTTACTATTCTCTATCTGTCCCATTTTACCACTCCTTATTTTCTTTGTGGGTATAATTCCACTTTATTCTGCAATGGAGACCTATGTCTGAATGCCCATACATAGTATTATTACATGTTATAGTGTATGTGTGTGTAGATACATATATATGTGTGTGGAGACCTATCAAGTTTTTCATAAAAATTCTCTATGTTGCGCCTTTTTGCTTCAGTATGGGGAGATAAAGGTTGAAATATAAGCTTTTGTATTTAATTTTGATATGCTTGTTGCAACTGTACCTTTTGCTACAGAACACCAAGAATAATTGCAATACTTTAATTAGGCTTATTTCTTGGTGTGTACTTGCAAAAGGGAAGAACTTAAATTGCACTCTGTACTTATGTCTAACCCCTATATCTGTCTTTATTCTGTTTTAAGATCAGTTCTCTTTGTTTGAGATAGAGAGGTGTAGTTTGGTTTGGTTTGGCCTAACCAAATTAAACCAAATCTTATGCAATTTCATTTTAATTTGATAATATTTTTTCAAACTGTATTAAAGCGGACCAAACTTGAATAAAACCAAACCAAATTCAAACAATCAATAAAGCCTAAACAGAACGTGAGATGCTATCTGCTAGAATAAAGTATGAAAGTGGCCAGGAATTACCAAAAGGAACCAATTATAGACAAAAAAAAGTGTCTTCTACGAAGGACTGAGACAAATGGTATTTTTCTAAGTGGCAGCAGACTAGCAGATTATATTTTCATTTTATTGGCTTGCATTTCTGAAGTGAAATAAAAAAAACCCGTGTGTATGTATGTGTGTGTGTGTTTATATAATATATATATATATACTTTTCCAAATCATCATACTCCGTATATCATAAAAGAGTGCCTTGTCATTTTATCTAACAGGGAACAGGGGACCTGGCAGAACACCTCTAGACTGGACGACAAGGTTGAAGATAGCAGCGGGGGCTTCACGAGGAATAGCTTTCATTCACAATTCCTGCAAAACCCTCAAGCTCACTCACGGGAACATCAAATCTACAAACATTCTCATCGACAACGTTGGCAATGCCAGAGTCTCGGATTTCGGGCTAGCCGTCTTTGCATCCCCACCCTCCGCTGCCCCAAGACCCAATGGCTACCAAGCCCCTGAAGCATTAGCATTCGACGGTCGCAAAATCACCCAGAAATCTGATGTCTATTCCTTCGGGGTGCTCTTACTGGAGCTTCTGACTGGGAAATGCCCAGCAGTAAACGAAGGTGCCATCGCTGACTTGCCGAGGTGGGTGCAGTCTGTGGTGAGGGAGGAGTGGACGGCCGAGGTGTTCGACTTGGAGCTGATGAGGTACAAGGACATTGAGGAAGAAATGGTCGGGTTGCTACAGATTGCCATGGCCTGTACTTCACCATCCCCCGATCAACGGCCCAAGATAGCTTATGTGGTGAGAATGATCGATGAATTGCGTGGGTTCGAGGTTTCCCCTTCCCAAGGTTCTGTCTCAGATTCCCCTGCCGTCTCAGAAGATACCAACTGTGGAGCTAGTCACTGAGGAGAACCGTTTAGTGTGATAGAAAGATTTTCTTGATTATAATCATTATCATTTATCAGCCTTGTACATCAGGCCTTGCTTCATTTTCATCTCTTCCTTTTTTTCATTCTTCCACCTCTAAGTAGTAGGAACAATATTTATAAAGAAAGTCCCACTCAAAATTTAGTCTCTTTCCTCCTTTTAGGATGTTTTCTTTTGGACTGTTTTCAGTCCCAGACCAGACCAGACTTAAACAGACCAGACCAGACCAGACTTCCGTAGTTATAAAATACACAGAGACCAGACGTTTACCAGACCAGACCAGTTCAGACCAGACCAGACCAGACCAGACTTAAACAGATCAGACCAGACCAGACCAGACTTAAACAGACCAGACCAGACCAGACCAGACCAGCAAATTTCAGTCCAAAAGAAAACATCTTTACAGTGCTATTCAAATAAGAAATTGATCAAAATAGAGACAGAACTGCGACTACGGTTTCACATTTTAAAAATAGGCTAAAAACTAGCTCGAAATAAGAATCAGTAAGGAACCAGCTGAGATCAATACCAGTTCTTTCCAGTAGGCAATGTCACAATGTTTCAACTTATTTATTTATTTATTTATTTATTTATTCATTCATTCATTCATTTATTTATTTATTTATTTTAGAGTTAATTATTCAAATAGGAGTAAAAGCAAAGGTAATTACAGATTTAGGAGCATCAATGGATGAGAAATTTCATAGGATCAAATTCAACACAGTTGGACAAATATAACCCTATTTTTTTTAAATGCAAAATTTGCCGAAACCCTAAAATTTGAACCGTTAACAGTAACACTAACGCCGCCCTCGCCGGTTTCGCCTATCGCCGCCATCGCTGGTGCCGCCTTGCATCACCTATCCCCGCTCCTCTGGTCACCGTCTTTTATCAAAAATTCAAAACTGCCGCCAGTCTAAATTCCAGGACCACCACCTCTCGTCCTCTCCTCCGAGCACGGCCGTTGCAGTCACAACTCCAGTGCCTTAAATTTTCCTTTAAATTGGCAAATTCGGCCTTCAAGATTAATTTAAAACCCGTCATTTATATGAATCTTCAAAGCTGCCAAAGAAGTTGTCAAATTATCTTGAAAGAATAAAACAAAACTACCATAAATTTGAAAAATTATAAAGTCAACAACCAAATATTTGTAAATTTTTCAATGGAATAAAATCTTCAACACAACAGAAAATCGGAAATACAAATCTAACGACAAAAAATATGAAATACGGATTTACACAATTTTTTTTATACCATAAACTTGTCAGATTCTTATGCCATCATCCAGAAATTTAGAAAATACTTTTTTTTAGAAGTAGAAATTTGAAATATGAAATAGAAGTCCAAAAATTAGCTTTTTCTTAATGTTATGTTATCCGTGCTCCTTTTATAAATTGGACAATTTTCCAAGCAAATAACACTTCTACTTTTGAATGCAAAACCCTTATTCATGACATACTATTGTACGAATTCTTCCAAGTGTTTTCATTGTTTCCAAATGATGCAATTCATTTCACTCTTGACCTAATAAGTGTTTTCTGTGAAATAATGAGAAAGGTTAGTCAATAGGGTACATGGCAGATATATTTATACTAATAAAAGTTTCCAAAGATACAAAGGATTCCTAATTTAATATTAGGCTATTACACCCCCTCAAACTGTGCGGGAGATACAACGCGCAGGTTGTCTTTTAAAAAATGAAATTGCTGACTAGAGAAACTTTTAGTAAATATATCTGCTAACTGAAGACTGGTAGGAACATATTTAACAACAAGATCACCATGAGTCACACGTTCACGAACAAAGTGATAATCTATCTGGATATGCTTACTCCGAGCATGCTGAATAGGATTGGCTGTCAAGTAGGAAGCAGAGATGTTGTCACAAAACAAACGTACTGGTGCTGTGACCGGAAAACCAAGCTCGAATAGAATGGATCGAATGTGTATTGTGTCCTGTACTATGTAGGCGATGGCTCGATACTCTGCTTCTGTAGAGGATTTGGAAACAGTAGGTTGTTTCTTTGACTTCCAAGATACAAGATTTGGCCCAAGAAATACTGTGTAGCCGGTGGTGGACCGAGAGGTATCGGGACATCCGACCCAATCAGCGTCTGAATATGCCACAATGCAGGTCGCCTTAGGTGTAGGTTGAAGCCATAGACCATGATCAATGGTACCCTGCAAATATCTAAAAATCCTCTTGACAGCAAAAAGATGAGTGGTACGTGGGGCATGCATAAATTGAGAAACCAAATGCACAACATAAGTAATATCAGGTCTTGTCAAAGTTAAATACTGTAATGAACCTACCATACTGCGATACTCAGTCGCATCTGCAAGGAGCTCGCCATCAGTGAGAGATAAGGAAGTACGAGACGCAAGGGGAGTGCAAAGTGACTTGACACTGTGTAAATGAAAACGAGATAAAAGGTCAGAGACATATTTATACTGGGAGAGAAACAAACCTTTAGGATTACGAATGGCCTGAATGCCAAGAAAATAATTAATGAAGATCACCCAAGTCTTTCATGGAAAAATGATGAGCAATAAGATGAATGAACTGAGTAACAACAGACGAGGAATTGCCAGTAATAATAATGTCATCCACATATAGTAACAAATAAATAATCGAAGTGCCTTGGCGGTAAATGAATAGAGAGTTATCCGACTTACTACATAAAAAATTATGAGAAAGTAGGAAACTGCTGAACCTATGAAATCATGCCTGTGGGGCCTGCTTAAGACCATAAATAGCCTTGCGCAGACGACATAAATGATGAGAATACTGAGGATGAATAAAACCCCGCGGCTGACGCATATAAACTTCTTCAGTGAGATGACCATGAAGGAAAGCATTTTTAACATCAAGCTGACGCATATTTTGAACATTGTTTAAAAGGCGCATTTAAGACTTGACAAATAGGTTTTAGGGATTTTGATCGGTTGAGTGACTGATTTTTGAAAAAAAGTAGATCTATTTAAGACTTGATGTAAAATAATAAGCCAATATAGATCTTGAAGGTGAAAAGTAAAAGCCTGAGGCTCAAGCTTCTTAACATGCCTCAAATGTTTGAGGCTTAAGCCTCTGTTCATTCCCTTTAGGTTTAAGCCTCAGGCCCTCAAGGCTTTTTTGGGACCGCCTCTCCGACCTTTTAGTTTTGTCAGTTTGTAATATGAGTCAAAACCATCCATCATCCGGTACTCTGACCTTTTAGTATTATTGTCAGATTGAAACATGAGTCAAAACCATCCAACATCCGGTACTCTTCGACCTTACAGTATTGGCAGATTGAAATATAGGTCAAAACCATCCAACATCCGGTGCTCTCCGACCCTTTAGTATTGTCAGATTGAAATATGAGTCAACCATCCAACATCTGATAGTCCACCATAACAGTTCTGACATGATGATACATGTATAATTTGTATGGGTATATTGTGCCAGATTCCAGTGTGACTTTTCTCAAGTGACTGTAGGAAATATGCACTTTTATGCTCATGTACAGTGGCGGATCTATGTTCCAAACTATGGGTGTTCATTTATTTTCTATAATTAAATTAAATTTATACATGTATACTAGCTTATTTTTTTCAAATCTAGGTGTTCATATGAACATCTTTGAACCTATATAGCTCTGCCACTGCTCATGTACTAGACGTTCTAGGCTTAAGCTAGCCTCTGTTTATTCGCTTTAGGTTCAAGTCTCGAGTCTTTTTTGAGACTGCCTCTCCGAGGTTTTAGTGTTGTCAAATTGAAATATGACTCAATAACCATCCAATATTGGACAGTCTAGTATAAATGTTTTGACATAATCATGCATGTATCACATGTATGGGTATATTGTGCCCGTTTCCATTGAAAATGACTTTTCTCGGGTGAATGTGAAAAATATACACTTGCTTCTTTACAACTTTTATGCTCATGTACAAGACTTCTACTCGGTGCCACATAGGAGTTTGTCATATCTAAACACATACACATATACATGAAGGTTACGGACACACACATATATTAAATGTGCGGATCAAGAGTGATATGAGATTAAATATAGTGTCAAGAATGATTCTTTATCCATTGTTACAAATACTTCACTCAAAATGCAGAAGTGCATTGCAGGTAACATATTGTATGCATGGTTTCGCATTGCAGGTAACACATTGTATGCAGAGTGTGGAGGTTTATGCACGTGTATTCTGTTGTGCTGTTTTGGGTCACGTTTTGTATATCAGGATGTTTTTTGTTTTGTTAGTTGGTGAATGGATTGCCTCCTGACCATCCTGCCAAGAAATTGAATGAACTTGTCAGAACTACCAGTATGATAGAGAATTACCGTGTACTCCTCAAAGAGATGTGTGGCATTGGGACTGAAGCGGCTGCTTAAGTTATACTCCGTACTTCTGTAGTATTATATGTGCTTCGCACAGAAATGCACCAATTAAATATATAATAATGTTATCATTGTTTTACCATCTTCCCTCATCCGTTTGTGTTTTAAGGAGTATGAACTTATGTATAAAGAATGGTAATATTTATTTAAAAAAAATAAAGAATTTGTATTAATTAGACCATTTCTTATAAATCTGAAGGTATATCTTTTTTATTTTTCAATTATGATGGAGAGTTGTACCATTATTGAGGTGGAAAGTGTCGAACTTCCTATTCAATAAATGTGAATTTCCCAAGCTGGAAATAAAATTAAAGCATCAAACAAAATATTCTGCTGTGCCAAAATGGGGAGGGGGCAGGTAGGGGCTTTGGCCTTCCCAAGATAAAATTATAATGTACTATCTATAAATATTTATATTAGTTTTATATACGGAGTATGTTAATATGTTAACCTTTGGCTCCTACAGTATGTACGACAATATATTTTCTAAAGTGTAACTGGGTAATAGTACAAATGTTGAAGAATACTAATGTTTAATACGGAGTAGTAAACCGATTTTAGGTTAACTGGTAATAGTACAAACGTTGAAGAATATTAATGTTTAATAGTAAATTGATTTTAGATTAATTGCGTAACAGTACAAATGTTTAAGAATACTAATGTTTAATAGTAGTTATTTTAGATTAATTGCATAACGGTGATTGAAGTGTTTTAGAAAAGAATTGGCTAAGGTGAATAAGTTAAAGTTGGAGTGTGATA